TAGGTGACCGTTGTGTGTTAGGCGTGCGTTTGAGTTTGTCTCCGGCTGCTGAGAGCAGCGATGGAATGGTTAGTTAGTCAGGAGGTGATCGTTCGGGCAACATTCAGCCCAGCCAGTGTCACGCATGGCAAAATACACGGTTAAAATACACATTTTCACCCTATTGAGACCAGTTGTTATGGTGTAAACTTTGGCCGCTTTGCGGGACGGGAAAATATCATCAGATCGGAATGAAATTTTGCACAGAACCTTGTACCATAGTATCGACAAGAATTCCGACCCGGCCCGACAAACTTTTTTTTTTGCCATGAAAATGTGGACCACCCTAATATATATATATATATATAAAACATAGGTGCTTATCTCAGAGGGGGGAGAGGGAAGCAGGCTGACATTTCTGCATGCATTTCTGCATCTTTATTCATGATCGCCTCGTTATTGGAAAACATTTGTTTGTGGGGAATCGTGAGACTCATGTGAATATACTCATAATTATAACTGTTGTTGTGCTCCAGATGAAAAGTGTCTACCGCCAGATGGAGTTAGAACTTTAGACACACTTGCTAATACTATAAATGAGAAGGTGTGTCGAGGGCGAGTTGCCATGGCATGAATGGAGCTCAGCTGCTACGAGAGTGACATCATGACAGCAACAGCAACAGAGTGAATTGACGGCTCCTCTGTTTGTTGTGGACAAATAGCGAGAAGCTATTAATTCCACACGATCGACAGAATCGATGACCTATGCCCATCCCTCGTTGTTTCCAATAGAAAAATAACTGATACTCATAAAACTGATAATGGTGATTTGTATACACAGTGCGTGGTTCTATTTGTGGTTTCACATGTGCACAAAAATATGAGGATTGTGAGTTACTAAGTGGCTTGCAAAACATGCGCTGTAAATAAACCAGCTTGGCTCTTTGATGAACAAATGCAGGATTCCCATTGTCGGGTTTTATTTACAAGGGATTTGAAAGCGGCCGACTTTTCAAAACTGCAGCGGATCCTGGGAGGCAAATGAACTTTCATCAGACTAAAACAAACACTCGTACAGCACAAACTAATCTAATGACAAGCAAAAACAAAGGGAGACATGTGCTTGACTTTCAATTCCACAACATCTGTTGCCCGAATTGAAGCGGGGTGGATTTCTTAAACCAGACAATGACAGCCAGATGACAGTTAATGGTCTCTTCTATTTGTCAAATTCTGGCCTGTGGATACCGCAAACGCTTCAAATGAATTTTCCACTCCAGGAGGACACGGGTATGAGGAATGATGAAGAGTAATGGGATCAGACATGAGGTTGCATTTACAGCACTACTATTATTGCTGGCGATGATGATGATAATGCGATGGTGGCAGAAGGGAAAGGAGAAGGTTAACTGCCGGAAACTCTTGACCCACTCAAAGCACTTTGGATTACGGTATGGATTCCCGTATTGTACAGAGACGACATTTTATGGGAGCAGATAATCAGCACTATTAGAAGGATAGCAAAGCTTTCCATTACTTGACACAAAAGACTGTTCTTATCGGCCCGGAACTGGGAGAGGATTTCTTATGCTTCTGTCAGAATCAGAGAACGCGACTTATCACCTAGTTAGAAAATTATTAGGTGCAATTCAACGCTCTGACCTTACACAGAGGTTGTACAGAGTGCGGTCTAAAGGCAAACCGGGTCAGGTTTTACCTGTTCTGTTATCAAAACCGAAAGACTGTGTAGTGGTTCATTAGCACTAAACTAGAGCAAACTATTTCTCGGTTTCTTGTAGACTTGCCAATTGATCGAAACTTTGATCATTTTCACCAACCAATTTGGTTTAGCTTGGTATCATTTTCATTTTTTTTTCTACTGTCAAAATTGGTGGTGGACCACTGACCCTTTTTCCAGCATCATGAATGGATGGCAGAGTGGACCACTGGGACCCAAAGCAAAAGGAACTAAAATGCCGAGCAATATTGGCTGGAGATTGGGGAACCCTTTACAATGGAAATGCAATTCACTACATGCATATGCCAACGTGAACGGCACTGCTTGTTGGAAACTAGGCGAGCAAGGAACACATGTCATTCTAATCCTACATGGATGGAGGTAAACCAAACATGGCCACCACTCACCTCTGACTTTGCCTTTGGAAGCCATCACTGGTGTCCACAAGAAGACAAAAAGGGGGGTTGTGGGGGTTGGACAGACAGCGAGAGGAAGGAAGAGAGGAAAAAAAAAACAGAAGGAAAAGGGACAAAGACAGAATACATGATTAGACAACTGCTGGAATGACAGCGTGTCTCTATATGAGGTGTATGAAAGGGGTTATAAAGAATCCCTCAAAACTGAGCTCACACCACGCTCACTTTGAATGAATCGACCGCAATGTAGGCATCTCGCCATTTGACTGTCCTGTAACTCTGCGGTTATTGATGAGTCAGCGGTGCGTGTCATCCACGCGAACGCCGTTGAAGGCTGGCACCCGCCGGTGACTGACAGCAGCGTAATCGCTCGCGAAAGGCCCAGACGCGACTGTCCTCTGAGAAGGAATAAGTTATGACATGAGGCAGTCCGACAAGCCCCTCGCTGAAATGCCCCACTCTCCCCCAAACAAGAGAGGACAGAACCAAGCGTCTCGTCAGAGAGAGCGGCGAGTGAAACAAACAACACAGATTGCCTATTTCTGTGCGTGTGCATTTGTGTGCGTGTATCCAGCGGGAGTGTTTTATACACACACCTTTGCCCAATTGACGGATCCATTGGATTGGCTCCGGTGAGGCTGAAAACCTCAAAGAGACA